ACAAAATGTCTCCAGTCAAAAAACCATGGCCTTAGAGCCACTAGTAGCTTGATCATCTGCATAACCTTGTAGCCATAATCTTGGTTGAAAAACCCTAGTTCTTGATTAGGTGTAATTGAATCTTGAAATAAATTTATGTGAGTCCATCATGCCTTGAATTTTTATGGAGGGAGATCTCTTGAGAATATGAGAACTTGATTGTTCAACCCCTAAACTTCCTTGGCATAAATCCTAATTCACAAATGAACAAAAGCAACAAAAAAAGCTAGATAATGGGTTAGTTATTCATGGATGATTTACTTAAATGATGCAAGGTGATGCAAAAGGAGGTGGAATCTTAGGCTTAAAAATTAGGGTGTGACAGTCTTAAACAGACACCTAGGGTGTGGAACAAGAAGATTGACTCATAATTAGTCGAATTGGGTTTCATCAAATGCAGATCTAATTATGGTGCCTGTGTACAGTTCATGATAAAAGATATAACCATCATTTGTTTATATGTCGATGACTTGCTAGTAATTGGAAATAGCTTGAAGAACTTGTCAACGTTCAAAGAGCTGAACATGAGGGAATTTGAAATGTCAGATTTGGGAAACTTCTCATATTTCCTAGGCATGTAATTTCAAATTACCAAGCAATGTATGATGTTTTATAAAAGGAAGTATGTCAAAGAAATACTCAAGAGATTTAGGATGGAAGATTTGAATCCAGCATCCTCACATGTCGAACCTAATCTGAATCTGGAGAAGCATGGAGAGGAAGACAAAGTTAATGCAACTTTGTTCAAACAAATTATCGGATCTCTGAGATATATGTGCATTAGTAAACCTGATATAGGTTTCTCTGTCAGATTGATAAGCAAATACATGGATGTACCAAAGGTGTCACACATAAAGACTACAAGAAGAATCTTGAGATACCTAAAAAGGATCAATAAATTATGGAATCATGTTTGCACGAGATTATGAAAGCAAAGAAGTTGTGATTAATTTGTATTCAGATGTTGATTGGTGTGGAGATAAGGAAGATTGAAGAAGCACAACTGGTTATTTCTTTCATGTTTTTGGTGCCCCAATCTCATGGTGCTCAAGAAAGCAGCTTGTGATGGCATTATCATCTTGTCAAGCAATATGGATCATATCTATGCTGGATGAGGTAGAGGTCGAAGTGAATAAACCTCTGGTGATGCAGATCAACAAAACGTCAGCCATAAATCTTACGAAGAATTCAATTCAACATGGAAGGAGTAAGCACATTGAGGTGATATTTCATTTTCTTAGCGAGAAGGTAAATTGAGGTGAGATTGAAGTGACGCATTGCTCAATTGAAGCACAGTTGGCCAACATTTTCACCAAAGGATTGAAGATGGATATATTCCTTAATATGAGAAATAAATTAAGAATAATTTAGATCGACTATTGTTGTAAATGTGCCTTAAAATCTTTGTTGATGAAGAGAAAGAAAACATATTTTAGAGATTGCATTTACCACAAAAATCGGAAGTTTTAGAAAGTTAGACAAAAATTCGAAAATAAATAAATAAATAAATCGGGCGGTGAATAGTTTCGTCCGTACGAATGAATAGTAGCGCTCGTACGAATGAAGAGTGACGTCCGTACGGTGAATAGTGTTTTCGAGTTTTCGGCTTTTTTCGATTCGGTCCATGGATCCATGTGATTTCGGGCTTTGTTTGTTGGATATTTTCTATTATAAATATGTATCTCTTATACGCTTGGTATGTGACAATCTCAGAGGTTTCACCAATAAGGGAGACCAAGAGTTTAAAGGTATAACATAGGATTTCAGCTATGCACAAAGAAAACCTTGGATTAAACCTTGGGTTTGAGTGATTCATATATTGAGAGTTGGAGAGATAAGGAAATACTTGGGTAGAAAATAGAGTTGTTTTTTAGCACCTTTAGGGTTGTTCTTGGGAACTTGAAGGCGAAGACTATTTTCTTGTAACTCATCTGTAATCTCTTGTAACAACTTTCTGAGTATAGTGAATTAGAGAGCTGCTCTCTCCCTCAGAGTAGATCGTTTGATCGAACTGGATAAACAAACCTTCAGTTTTTTTGCCTTATTCTGTTATATTATTTGTGTACGAATTATTATTGTTGAAGATCATTTATTTTGGTTGCTATTGTTCTATGACTCAAAAATTGATATTGAATTTTGTCGTAATTCACAACAAGATTCACAACAACTATAATTAGTATAAAGGGTATGTTAAGATATAAGTAATATAATCTAAGTTGTGTGTGGCCCAAGTTCAAAGATAATTAGGGTTTAGGGTTTATTATATTTGCTACTTAGTAGTCAAGTAACTTAGTTGTATATAAGTAGATATCTTACAATTCAATCTGTAACTGAATTATAATTCAATAATATCAATCTTTATTTTCTATTTTTTTTCTTTCTCTTGTTACTAAAAGTGTTTCACGCATTAATAGTTAAATTTAATTTTATTTAATAGAGTGTTTATACTCATTATATTTAATCATAGGATTTACCAAATTCAAATTCTAAAAATAGGGAACTTACAAAAAAATACTTCAAATTCGAAAGACATTCGTGAATTTTTAAGGGGTTCGTGAGAGACTTGGAAATAGGTGAAAGAAGTTTACAAATGATTTTGTTTCGTGGTCATAAATAGGGGTGGCAAAACGGGTCGTGGCCCGCCAGAACGGACTACGCACCCGCCAAAAAATGGCGGGTTGGGTTGGGGTTTTGGGTCCGCCGTCCACCAAAGTTCGTCCTGCTAAAGACCGTCACCCGCCAAAACCCGCCGCCCGCGAAAGTTCACTGCACCTATTCGTTCAACTTGTCCCACTTTATATCCGCCTTTTTTTAGTTAATTCTAATAATTTCAATTCTTGATGGTTTTATTTTATGCATTTATTTGAGAATATATGTAATATTTTTTGTAGTAAAATTTGTTTAAAAAATGTTTTATAAAAATTGTTTTAAAAAATAAATGAAAAATCTAATTGAAATGTAAAAATAAGCCTATTAATCTATTAAAAGAAGGAAATAAATAAATAAGTAGGCATGCAAGCCCGCCGCCGTCCGCCATCTCAGCGGAGTGAATTAGATTTTTATGTTCATTTTCACTTGTATTTTTTTTTAACAGACTTAAGACGGGGTGGGATGGGGCAAGACGAGTGACCCGTTTTGTCATCCCTAATCATAAAGGCTGAAGTACATATGTAGGTTTTGCATGTGCTCATTATTAGATGAGATTCTCCTTCATGATATGCATTATATTATTTTAATAAATAAAAATGATCATATTTTATAATATTATTAATAAAATATACTCCATTTATTTTAAAATAAAATATAGTACACACTAATGTACATTAATTATTTAATAAATTTAAATAGATGAAGTGTTTTTTACAATTGAAAAATTAATATTAAAATTTTATTGGAAATTAAAAGCAAAAAATATTTTAAGATAATTTTTTTTAAAATGCAATAATTATTTTAAAACAGACAATATATTTTATTCTTTTTATCATCAAAAAATTTTAAATAAAAAAGAAAAAACACAGAACATAAAATCTAACAATCAAAAACCACATCGAAAGTTAAATATGTTCAATATAACAAAAACAATAATTAAAAATGTTTAACTTATCTTCAAAGAAAAAATCAAAAGCACAAAAACAATATTTGAATATATTCAACTTTAAAAAACGATGGTCGACCATACTTAATTTATTTTTAAAAAAAAATTAAAATATAAACAGAAAGTAAGTTCTACAAAGTAAAATATATATTTTATTATATCTGTTGTGAATCGAATACTTTAAAACTAAGTATAAACAGTTTCTTAATGATCAAGAAACACACAAGGGTTATGGTTAATAAAGAAGAAAACAATAAGGATTGGTTATTAAACTGTTATTCTTTCCTTTCTCTTAAAACAAGATTACAAGTATACAAGAATAACAAAATAAACTCTCTCTCTCTCTTAAAATTAGGATTTTATCTTCTTATTTTTATTTATGCCAAGATTGAGAAACTAGTATCCTATTTATAATAAAAATAGCACACTAACCTAATGAGCTTTTTTTTTAACAATTACCCATTACAAGCTAGCTTAGGTACAAGCTAACTTAAACAATTGAGCTTACAAGTAAGACCCAATTCAACATGCTAACAACCCTAGCAATATTGAAACTAATGCATGTTAGAACAAACTTCGACTACAACACGCATTACTCGCGAACAGACTTCGACCATACTAGAGTTCGATCCAACATCGCACAATATCATTTATTAATTAATACTCTCATTTTCTATATTATTTTAAGCTTAAATTTTCTAATTATTTTAAGCTTTAACACTTCATTGAATCGCCCACAATTTGATCTTTTGCCCAATTTTATGATTGACAAATAAAAACTCAAATTAGTCACAAGACAATTTCATGTGAAGCAAATTACTCGTATAAAAATATCAAAGACTAATTTGGTAATATCTTTTTGTCATATATCAAATTTAGGCAAATTAACTGCATTAATTTTTTTACATGAACTATAATTTGAATTGAATGTAACAGAACCTATGTCTTCAAGTGCTAGCCAAATGGTCCACATACTAGTTTAATAAATGTACTTTGTTTTGGATAGTTTATCCAATCCTGGTTTTTATTCCTCCATTATTAAATCTGACATTTTAGTCACTTCAATGTTTAAATACAAGACATTTTTATGCATGTGAAATTAAGGCAAAAATTGTGATAAGTCAAATAGTATATAATAAATGAAAAGCAAAACTTATTTTCATATGAAAATTCATTCTACTGCATAGGAATCATTTTTGTGACAAAACTTATGCTACTATATTATCCCTTGAAAACATTTTATACCAAGATAACTCTTTTCTTGCACCCTAAACTAGCACTCTCACATAACTCTATTCTAGCAAGTACAACTTATATAGCAAAAATAGCATATATATTTTCTGATGCCAATCTGCAAATTACAATCTTAATTGCGCCAGCTGTTAGATCTCTTTGCTTCGAAGGCTGCTCCGTCGTTGAGCATGTCCTGTGCGTCGGTTTCCATTCCCAGCTTTGAGAGAGCAAGAGCTTGTAGGTAGAATGCAGTTGGCCAATCAGGTATGCATACCTGCGCCTGCATTGCGTCTCTTAATGCAAGTTCCGCCTGTTCGTTCATCAAGTAGGAGAAGGCTCTCCTTGCAAAGACGGTCGCAGAGGGAACAGACATCATAACCACCAACTGTTTAAATCAATGAAATAGAAGACATTTCAGATTATGCTCAATAACATCCGCACCCAAGCATAAATTGTAGGACTTAATAAACACTCATTGTGAAAGTGCAACGGAAGTGTCTCAAATATAGGAAAAACGAAACAATGCATCTTTACCTTGGAATAATACTCAATTGCATTTTTGAAATCCTTGTCTCTAAATGCAATATCGCCGAACTTTTTTGTGTTTAAGATGTCTTGCACTTGTTGGGTCCACTCTTGAAATGAAAGCTGCAATTACATTGTTAGTTAATAGACATAGCATAACAATCAGAGCTTAACAAGCGATATTCAGTGATTTGCATGTACTCGTAGTCGTATCTCAATGAGAACATTAAATATCTCGAAGATAAATGATGAAACCAAAATTTGTAGGCAAAATAGGGTGATTCGACAAACCTCATTTTCGGCACCTTCTTCATCTTTATAACCTGTTTTTAACAATATATCATGAATAGCAGTAAGATCCATCCTTGCACAAGCCTTTCCAAGAGGAGAAAGCATGGTTGGTAGCGGTAGCACTGCCGCTGTTTTAGTAAGGCCCATTAACACATGAGATGCAACCTGTCAAAAAAAAAAACTCGTAACTGAAACTAGAGAGCGCAAATGTGTAATGAACATCGTAATTGAAAGATAAAACTAAAGCTAAAGCTAAAAACCTCTTTCTGCTTTTGAAGAGGTGTAACAGCAGTGAGAAGAAACTTAGTATCAGGTCTTTCTCTGGCCTCAAACTGAAGACATTTTGATGCAAGCTCAACCAACTTTGTAGCATCATCATTTGCATATTGCCCTTCTAAGGATGAGTCCATCAACAACAACGCATTTTTCCCTCTAATTAGGTCCAAAGCCTGGACAACAAATCAAACTTACTCACAACTTTCATACCCTTAATACATAGCATATTCAACATCGTGTAAACAACTAGGGAATACTTAAACATGAAACATATATATTATGTAAACAATATATGATTAAGTTTCTAAATAGATTTGGCTGAAAACAGAAAATTCTCATTCTCTTGATAACATACGAACAATTCCAAAGGAATTTGGAAGAATGGAAACATACATGGCTTGGGGGAATATGCTTGCCACTCAAAAGATCCAATAGGACAGTACCGTAACTGTAGATCACACTTTCTGCTATTATCCTACCTGCAGATGTTGTTAAGCACCACATTACCGTTAATAATAATAAGACTTCTGGTAAGAGATGTTGGAACAACACAAGAAAACTGAGGTAAAATAATGTCACCAACAGATCACACGTTGTTGTTGTTGGGACTTCTATAAGTTAGCATATCTTATACCTGTTCGCAAAAATTCAGGTGGAGTATAGGCCAGATTAGTACTGTAGCTTTTCCCATCTCGACTATTTTTCATGAGCCCAAAACTTGATAAACGGGGATCACCATCCTGACATTATGGACAAATTAGTCAAAGTCAGTTGATTGCAGAATTCAAACATTTGATGTGTTTGTGCCACTTATAGCATTCAAGAATCACGTACAAACAACAATGTCGATAAATTAAAACAAAAAATACTACAAGATAGATAACCATAATCAGAAAAAATGCATCAACATATATTAATATCAGGACAAACAATGAAAGAATGACGACAATATACAAATGAATGAGTTGATAGCGATAGAGTCGTAATCATACCTCATCAAAGAGAATTCTATAAGCATTCAGATCATGATATATTTTCCGGTTTTCCATGCTACAATGATCTAGCGCCTGTGCAACATGATATGCAACTCTAACACGCATTTCCCACGGTAACGGTTGCTTGTCCCCTATGAATTACATTGATCAGAGTTCAATCATCAACTAAAATCTACCATAAACTTATTATCAAAACTACCATTGACAAAGAAAATAAATGCTACTCCGTTACTTGTTAGTACTTATTAAGACTGACAACACTTCCTTTCAAGAAATAAATGCGGCTGGGATTTACCACCAAAACGAAACGACAATAATGAGATTGACAAGTACTGGTCAAAATACTATAAGTAAATTGCTTTAATGACTGCAAAAGTAGTTGAATGAGAGGATATAGAGCAGTACAATGAAAGAGATGTTTGGACAAAGTATCATTTGGCATGTACTCAGCTACCAAGAGCCTTTCATCTCCTTCAGCACAACAGCCAATTAGATTCACCAATCTTTTGTGCCTCACTTTCCCAACTCCAGCTGCCTCTGCCTGACCAATCATAACCATTAACTCAAACTTGCTTTCCCAAATTTAAATAGCAAAGAAATAACTTATACAAAAAAGAACTTATATGAGAAAGTTTAATTAACTATTAAGTTGTCAATCAAGTGAATCCCTATCATTTTACAGTGATACTTTTCTCAGAGACCAAATTGAGGTTATTTTCTTAGTCTTACCAGAAATTGTTGAGCATCAGGCCAAGACTGTTTGGAGAAGCGTTTAACAGCGACTAATCGATTATTCTCAAGCTTCCCTCTGTAAACCAAATTAGGAGCTTTCTCACCACTCTCAGAGACAATGTAACCAGTACTGAACTCATGTGTGGCCCTTCTGAGTTCATTCAGACCATACTCTTTGAATGCTGGAATCTGATTTTCTTGATCACCATCCCCTCCATCATCACCTTCAAAACCACAAAACCCAAATTAAAAAACCAACCATCCCCATTTGGCTCAAGAACAAATTTTTAGTAGCAACAACATAAACCCAACAATAATAAGAAAAAACAAACAAACAAAACACATCATGGTAGTTGCATATAAAAGTAAATAAAACCCCAAAAAAGGTAAAATTAAAATAAAAAGGAAAGAAGAAAAGCAGGTTGAAAAGTGAGTACCTGGATCGGGTTTCTTTGAGTCGGGTAAATCAGTAGGAGGGTCTTCAGGGGAGTGAAGATGAGCGGTTTTGGAGTGAAAGCAACCCATATAGAAATGAAAGATTGTTTATTATTATTATGATTGTTGAATAATGAAAGGGTTTGGTTTGTACATAGAAAAAGAAGAGTAAATGAATGATGAATGGTTTTAGTTCCCCATGTTGCAAGTGACTGAGTCACTGCTTCTATAGTTGCTTGTTGCAGCGGCGGAAACAGGAGAGAGAGAGAGAACAAAAACAGTGTTAGAAGAGAAGCAATGGAAAAAGGGAAGAGAGAGAGAGAGAGAGAGAAGAAGGTCACATGAGAAGGTGTATGATGGAGCACGTGCTGACTCAGGTGGGGCTGTGATGTTAGAAACATTTTCCGATGAAAATATTTATTATTAATTTTTTGTTTTTTATTTTTAAGGAGAAGAAAGAATTGGGAAAATGTTACTACAGCGTCATGGTTGTAACCGACCATAAAAGTATTAAGCTTAACCTCAAAGTGGAACAGTGAAGATTACTGGTTGCAGTTACGTGGAGTCGTTTGTGATATTAGGTTCCTGGTCCATGTTTTAAGGGTCTTGTTGTGTCTCCTTTTGGTTTTCTTTTCGCATTTAAAGTGCTAAACAACAAACAAGCTTGTGTGAAGTGTTGATGAATGATGATGATGATGTAATAATGCAAAAGGGAATGTGCTTTCTTTTCTTCTCTCAATGTTACTAAGATGCAAGGGAATGTGCTTTTACAACAATTTATTCAAAATAATACTTTTTTCTTTGTAAAACCATAAGAAACAAATATAAATTTTCAAAAGTACTGTAATTGTTCATGTGTGGTTGAAGATTCATAATATGTTTGGTTTTAAGATATTTAGGCTTATATCATTACGTATACCATTGGCTATTTTAGTAGTTAAGAGATTTAAAAGTAATAGTATTGCATGTTTTGTAGTATTTTAGATGGAATTCTTAGGCAAAAGTTGTGTATATTGGAGTGGTATGTGAGATTTCGCTTTATAACATCTTTGTGAGAGATACATTGTTGAAATTTAACTACGATCTATGGAGAATTTCTACTCAATTTTAATTTTAAGATTGTTATCACTCACGCAATGACAATGAACAAAAATAAAAACACGTTTAAAGATGAGTTTGAACTGCAGAGTAACTCTCTGCCCACAACTGTAGAATTTTATTATCACTTTGCAACTGTAAAACCGTGATTATCAAACTTGATGATTACAATGATAAGAGTTCCTATCTATTTATAGATTTAGGCTAACTTGCATCTCAAGTTAAAACTCAAACTATAAAAGCCCGAAAATATCAAATATGATCTTTCTAAATCAAATCAAATCTTTCTAAAACAATGAATTACATATTTAACACACCACCTAATTCATTGTGTCTAAACTATCTACATTCATCATAGACTTTAACTTCTTGAACACTTCGACTGACTCTCCCTTCCTCATGATGTCTGCAATCTGATTCTCAGTTATGTAATGTTCCAAGTTCATCTTTCCTTCTGTTACCTGCTCTCGAAGATAATGGAACCTTATTTCGATGTGCTTGCCTCGACCGCGTACTATTGAATTCTTCGCCAAGTTGATATCTGACATGTTGTCGATCTTCATGGTAATTGCTCCATGACTATTCGTTGTGATCTCTTCGTCGAAACGGATTCCTTCCTTCTGAAGAAATCATTTCGCCACAAGTCTCGTCTTGTGTCGAGTTACTTCTCTATTAGGATTCACCTTCACCTTGTAAACCCACTTCACATCAATTGTCTTTTTACCTTAAGGCAATTCGACAAGTGACCAGGTGTTGTTGACTTCGATGGAGTCTAACTCCTCATTCATAGCTTTCACTCACTTCGAATCTTTCAATGCCTTAGCTGCATTGACTAGTTCGACATCTGCGTAGAAAGCATAATGTACTAACTCACTCTCTTCATCGACCACATCATTTGATGTAATCACACATTATTGCAATCTTGCAGGAATGTGTCTTGTTCGTCGAGGTCTGCTTGGGCATGCTTCATCTCTGACTTGTTCCTGTCGAACTTCTCTTTCGACTTTAGTGGTTGGTTCTTCACAAGAGATTCTCACTGAATCCTTCTTGACATTCTCAGTTCAATCTCATTATTTAAGCTCATATATGATCACGTCCTTGCTGATCACTGCTTGCTTTTTCACTGGGTCGAACAGCTTGTAACCTCTAGTTGAATGATATCATATCAAAATCATATGATTCAACTTGTCATCAAGCTTCCTCCTCAACTGATCTGGCACATGTATGTGTTATAGATCCAAACACCTTCCAGTGATTGAGGCTAGGCTTAACACCAGACCAACATTCTTCTGGTGTGATTCCTTCAAGCTTCTTCGTTGAACATCTGTTTAATATGTATGTTGTTGTCGAAACCACTTCTCCCGATAATTCTTTGGGTAGATCTTTTCCATTCAACATACTTCTTACCATGTTCATGATGGTTCTGTTCTTTCTATCTGCGATTCCATTTTGATGTGGAATGTAGGGTGGCACCACCTTATGCACAATCCCTTCTTTTTCACATAATGTATCGAACTCTTTCGACACATACTCTCCACCACTATCAGTCCTCGGAATTTTTAGCTTTCGACCACTATGTCTTTTGACCATAAATTTAAATTTGGAAAATACCTCGATTACATCACTTTTCTTTTTGATGAGGTAAGTCCACAGCTTTCGACTGTAATCATCTATGAACATGACAAAGCATATGTTGCCTGCAACCGAATCCACCTGGATTGGACCATATACATCAGAGTATATGACTTCTAAAATTTCCTTCGACTTCCTTCCTGCATCCTTGTTGAAGTTATTCTTGTGTTGTTTCGACTGAACACACTCTTCACAGACTTCACTTAGAATGTCGATTTCAGGTGATCATGAAGCCATATTTTTTCTCTTTAGCTCTTTGATGTCATTGAAGTTGAGATGACCTAGTCGAAAATTCCATAATCATTCATCTCTGCTGGCTGCAGTTGCTAGGCACATGTGCTCCATCACATTAACTGCAATCTTGAAGGTCCTATTTTGAGACATTAAAGCCTTCAAGATCAACCTACCACCTGCTATAGCAACAAAAATCGTGAGCGTAAGCTATTGATTAACTTAACTCATAAAGCAAGATTTGCCGCCACACTTTTATTTATTCTAAAAGGAGAGGAAAAAAGAACGAACAAAACCTAAATAAGTTTTAAGCATGAACAGATGAACAGAGACTGGGTAAGGGGGTTGGTTACGCTAAGGGAAGGTGTTAGAATCCAAAACATATATAGTACTTTATAGGAACCCTTTGAAATATCTACGCTTTTTGGTTAGAAAAGGTTTGTTTGAAATGAGATTGAGGAGATGAGAAGAAAAGTATTTTTTTAAGATTTTTGTGTTTGGAGAGACTTGTCGCCTCATGCATACGTACCCACAAAGTGCAATATAGGATCAAAACTCCGTAGCTCGTGGTACAAATAACAAAATAGGTTTGTTATGGTTGATTTTAAGTGAAAAGACAAGTCGTCATTTCCAAGCGAATAGTTCCGCTTAAAGAGACGACTCATGTCTAAACTTATGGAAAAGTTTTAAAAGAAAAAAGTGCATAAGAGCACAAAAGGTTTGAGTGAGTTTGAATGACTTTTATGTTTTTTTGAAAAGATTCAAGGTATGATTAACATTGATTGAAATTTATTAAAGAAAAGTAAGTTTGACAAAGCACTTGACAAAAGTCAATGTTTTTTTGTGAAAGAGGTTGTAGTTTTGAAAACAAGAAGAATTTTGAAAATTGAAGAAAGGGTGTCGCTACTGCGAAAATCGGCGCCGGCTTGACAGGAGAGTCGCCACCGTGCGTTATTTATCCCTCAGAGCGGGAAAGAAAACGCTCGAAGTAAACCTCGCAAAGACGGGAAAAGGTATGGTCATCGCAACCAAAACCTGGATTCGGGAGTCGGTTACGCAAGGGGAAGGTATTAGCACCCCTCACGTCCATCGTACTCGATGGGATCCACGCTTGGTATTTATAAGGAAAAGGGTGTGTTATCTATCTACGCTAATGGCTGGTCGGAAAAGAAAATAAAAGGACAGGACTCGACAGAACATACGGTGTTCTGGGCCTACGTATTCCCTCGTGCAATGGGAAAGTCAGAGTCAACGTAGTTCGACTTCCTACGTCTAAACGGGGAAAAGGTTGCTCGCCAGGACATCGCGTCCTGTGCCTACGTACTTCCACACAGTATGGAAGATCAGAGCAAACGTAGTTCGACTAACTACGGGTAAACAGGGGCTCTCACACAGCAGTGAGAAAACAAACTGGTCCTAAAGGCTCGGGAACCTACAACTACGATCTGGTCTCAAATGCGCTCGGGCAAGAGAAAGGGATAACAATCAGTCGTTAGCGGGAAAGTCTCGATCGCACAGCCGCGAGAGAGCAGCGGTTAGTCGTTAATGTGCTCGCTAGGATATCGCATCCTATGCCTACATATCTTCGTCTGGTACGAAGAATCAGAGCAGCTGTAGTTCAGCTAACTACGGATCAAGCTACTCAAAAGCTCCTACAGAAAGGAAAGGGAAACTCTAAAACTATAGCGGAGAAACAGGGGAATCTACCTACTGCTATCACACCTGGTTGACCATCCTAATGTCTATCATAACAACTCCGCAGCGGAGAAGTCAGAGCTCCTAAGGGATCATGGCAACAGGACTAAACCACAAACAAGAAACTGCAAAGTAAAGGAATACTGAAAATATGCATGAATGCAACAACTAAACAAACAAAGCGCAAAGGCCGCAAACCACAAAGGCAAGGGAGCTCAGCTCTACCGAATACCAACAAGCAAAGCCACGCAATAACAAACAAGCAGAAGGAGGACCACCTCAACTTCTCATGCACACAAAGTCTACTTCTAGGATGCACCTACTCAGAACTATCTAGATGAATACCTAAGTCTAATGCAACACAACATCATACAAGTCAAACAACACCAAGAGACTAACCCTGAGCAGGGCCTCCACCTATAAAACAAGAAGCT